ACTTATTGAGTGCCAAATTTCTTAGGACCTCTGTTTGCTTGCCTAAAATATAATACCTTAGTTTTTAAATTTTTACTGTACATTCTTTAGAAGAATTTCCTCCAAAAGTTGGAACTTTGGCAACCAGAATTTGAAGGAAGAAAATGAGAAATTAGTTGTGTACTATTGAACTATTATAAACAGGAAGGAAAAGAATATATTCCTAGGTCAGAGATGAGGTGATTGAGGTTGCCGTGAAGTTAATGATGATAAACAGTAGTAGATCAGTGTTTAAAAAAGAACTTTCAGAGTAAGAGGTAAGAGTTATTGGTCAACATTTTTGTTTTGTTTGATGTATTTCTGTGGAAAGGGAATTGAAATGATAGTTTTCACTCCAAGGAGTGAAACATGTTTAGGTATAGGATTGATTAAGCAAATACCATAATTTTATCAGTGGGTGAATGAAAGCTTCATTTAGTTAAAGCTGGAATCATCAATAAAACTCAGTCCTCTAAAGTGGAACCTAAATTTAGAAAATATTCTTATCCTTCATGATAGTCACATTTTGAATTTGGGCTTACTAAATACTCTGTATTACATTTGCTTCATCTTCACATTAGGTGAAGATCCCTTTTCCTTGACACAAAATAACTATTAAGCCCCAGTGGTCTCCCTCCTCAAAATTTTGGCTGTCTTTACTCCTAAATTACTAAGAAGGTAACTAGATTTAAAACTCTATTTTATAGATTCACAGAAATTTTCAAAGATAGTTCAGAAAGATCTCTGGTACACTTCACCTGGTTTTCCTCACAAGCTATTCTTACTAATTTTTTTAAGGCTTTAAAATCTTTTATCAATTGTTGTTTTTTTGTTTGTTTGTTTGTTTTTTTTTTTTGTTTTTGTTTTTTTTGTTTTTAGCAAGAGCCCCCAAGCAAGGGAGGGGAGCAGAGACAGAGGCAGACAGAGAATCTTAAGCAGATTCCCTGTTAAGTGGGGAGCCCAACATGGCCTCAGTCTTAGGACCATGAGATCACCACCTGAGCTGAAACCAGGAGTTGGATTCTTTCGCCAGCTGAGCCACCCAGGCGCCCCAACATGGGGCTCAAACTCACAACCCCAAGATTGAGTCACATGTTCCACTGACTGAGCCAGCCAAGTGCCCCAGAAACTATTTTTAAGTAAGCCATAATACCTGTATATTCTTCCTTTAGAATTTTTGGGTAGTGGTTAAAGAACACTGAAAATAGGTAAGGGTTAGGATGAGTCATGGACACGTTAATACCTTCTTGCTGCATGAAGGAAGGGGTAGGGAAAAGAGGAGAGATACTTTGTATCTTACTGCTCAAGTCTTAAAGAATTTGTGAGATGTTCTTCTAGAAAAAGCTCAAGCAAAGGATACTGGTCAGTCTTCCACCTCTGGAGTGATTGAAATCCTCCTATGCTGAGGTCATCCTTTGGTGAGCATTCACCTGAGACAAAAATACCTTCACCTTAGAAAAAGCTAATGCAAAAGTGCTTGCTAAAAATTTAAATCCTGTATTCCATTCTAGAGGAAGGTTTTAATGATTCAGTCTTGGGGCAGGGCCTAGGAATCTTCATTTTCAAACACCACAGAGTGTTATGTTGCAGATTTCTATAGAACACACTTGAAAAGTTAGATTTTGGTATTTTAAAGAGGTTTCTTGTTTGTTTTTTTGTTTTGTTTTGGCTCCATGCCTAACATGGTGCTTGAACTCAACCCTGAGATAGTCACATGCTGTACTGACTAAGCCAGCCAGGTGCCCAAAGAGGGCATAGTTTTGTTGCTACTTTATATTCTTATTAAGGTTACAGTTTCATACATGGATGGTTTTCAAACTTTTGAGCATAGTTACAAATGTCTTTTACATGTGGATGTATATGTACATACATATATGAAACAGTTTCATTGCAGTTACATATATTTAGACTCTGATTTTTAAAATTTAAATGGTAATTGTGATCCTGGAAATTGCACAACCAACGTCTCCACCCTTAGTTTGAAAACTGTCATGTTACTAAGTGTTATCCATGTTAGGAAGACAACGTGATTACTGAGATGGAGTAGTACATTGGATAGCCCTTTTTTTCTTAAGATGATTTAATCTTTCTGGTCCTTTGAGAAAGGTTTTTTTTTTTTTTTTTTTTTTTAAAGATTTTATGTATTCATGAGAGAGGCAGAGAGGCAGAAACAGTCACAGGCAGAGGGAGAGGGAGAAGCAGGCTCCATGCAGGGAGCCTGACATGGGGCTCGATCCCGGGTCCCCAATATCATGCTCTGGGCTGAAGGTGGCGCTAAACCGCTGAGCCACCTGGGCTGCCCATGAGAAAGTTTTATTACTTAAAAATATTTTTCTGCTTTTGCCAAACATCTACCACCCACAATTTCCAACTTGGTTTCTTTTTTCCCCCTTTTTGGTGCCTTGCTACATAATGAAGTGCCTTCCTATGTTACTTAAAAGTGGTTAATGCTTATACTTTATTTTTATTTTTTAAAGATTTATTTATTCATGAGAGAGAGGCAGAGACATACACAGAGGGAGAAGCAGGCCCCCTGCAGGAGCCCGATGTGGGACTCGATTCCAGAACTCCAGGATCATGCCCTGAGCCTAAGGCAGTCGCTCAACCACTGAGCCACCTTGGCGTCCCAGTGCTTGTATTTTATATGCTTTAGAGCGAAAGGCAAGGACAAAAAAAAAACAAACCCAGAAGTGAAATTAATATTTTTATTAAACTTTACCTGAGGGAAAACATAATAGATTCTACAGCTTATTTGGCATAAAGTTCTAAAATAATTGGCTAGATCGTCCTCACTTTGAGATTATAAAGATATAGAAATGATCTTAATGTCTAGAAAATTAGTTGAAAATAAGATCAAATTAATTAAATGAAGTAAATTTTATCAAGAAAATGACTGGCATTTTCCTATTAATCCCTACCTGAATTCTTTAAAGTAGGAAATAGTGTTAGCCCATTTTACACATACAAAAACTGCATCTAGAAAGGTTTAGTAACATCATGGATACAAAGTTGGTAAGAATAGGTGTGAAACTCTACCTCAGACATTAGGATGATTATGATTTTAGTTGTGTCTAATAAAAGGATGGGTATTTTTTATTTGTTCACCTGTGAAAACACCATGTGAAAGTGCAATGGGGCAAAATGATAGCTTTTTAAGAGTTAGAAATTTGATTGCTGATGCCAGTAGTGGTCACATCTCAGATGAGTTACATTGTTTATGTAGCTCTGTTTCTCTCTCTCATCTTAAAGTGGTCATTGAGCACCTACATTATAAGAAAATGCTAAATGCTCAAATTGCCTTGCAAGTAAACAGGAAGCAAACATTTTAAGTATTAGATGCCATGTTAGAATAGAAAGCCACTTTGCAAAGTCTGATGTAAAGAAGGTGTCCTTTGTGAACTAGCCCAGATTCAAATTTGTCCCACCCTAGGTAAAAGCTTTCCCCTTCCTTTGTGGTTTGTAAGTATTTTATCACAAGCTGTTGGTTTGTGGTCTCCAAACTAACAGAAGACTTGAGGAAGAAAATAATTGAGGTATAAGAAACAGAACTGGTGGTATTGGCTCTTAGTAGTACGTCCCTTTCCAAGTTTAGGTGTGTTTACAGCCTTCAGAACTTCATGTCAGGATTTCTTCCCAACAAAGATATTCTGAACCGTTTGGGGGATACCAATGAGGTACAATGAGAACCAAGACTCATTCTCTAGAAAGACATGTAAGACATTTGTACCTTAAGAGTTCTGGACTCTCTGAAGCTGATCCTTGGTTCTAAGACCCTCTGCCTTAAAGGATTGACCCTAGAATTGTGTTCACTGCTATTCAGACAGCATCAAATAGTGCTTAGAATTAACATGTTAACGTGTACATGATGGAATTATTTGGTGGTGTGATTTTATTTTTATGTGCAGATACCAGTGTAGCAGGTTTAGCTTTAAGATGTTTAACCCAGGAGGACTAAATCACAGTGATTTCTAAGTCCACATGAAAAAACAAGGTTCTATTGACCTTGTTTTATTAGAAACTGAGAATTGTAAAAATTTGTGTTCTATACCAGTGCTTTGCATACTGGGTCTGGACCAGTTTTAAAATCCATTAATGTGTCTCACTAGCATTAAAACAAATGAAATAGATCAGAGTAGGGAAAATACCATTATATATCACATAAGGTTAAACATTTAGTGAAACTTTGGCTTAAGTATGTGTATTTGTATATGTATATATGCATGCATGTAGACATACATAAATGTTATTAGATTACAACGTGAAAATAATTCTTAACGTGTGATTTTTCTAACATTTTAGAAATGTTAGAAAGCCATAGTTCTATACCTTCTGCTTGTGCGGTAATTTGGGCACCTGAATTTCTCATATTTTTTGTGGTTTTGGGGGGCAGGAGCTAGATAAAGGGCTTTAAGAGAGTGAAAGAGTAAAGGAGCAGCTGGTCTTTGAATATTTAGTGATTAAGTGAAGTTGAGATGGAATTTTGCTAATTCAGTGTTTTTTAGGTAGTTAAGGCTGAATTTGTTTTGTGAATCTTTTGAAAGCTCTTAAAACCAGAGGGAGACATGTATGTTGCAAATTTATAGTTGCATTTACTGGATTTGTTGTCCATGGATCAGTGAATGTAATATCAAATGACATGTACTGTTAAGCTATCTGATAGAATGCCTTTCTGATCTAAGATTGAAAGGTCTGTTTTAAATAATGTCAGCTATTCCAGTGATGCTTAAAATAATCATTTGAACTTAAACCTAAATGTATAATCTGTTTATACCTGATATGTTTATACCTAAAATGTAGGACCAATAAAAAATGAAGGGCTTTTAGGGGTGGGGGGAGGTGGTCAGTAGAATATTTTTATTCTTTAATGTAAAATAGTTTCAGGAAAGGTCAAATGAACAAACATTAGGTGTTGTTTCAGTTTAAGAAACTGAATTATAGACGTTGAATAAATGGCTTCTTTGTTTCTTTCATTTCTTTCCAAGGTTTGGGCCCCATGGGATCCCTGTGACAGTGTTTCCCAAAAGGGAATATAAGGATAAACCTGAAGCCATGCAGCTCCAAAGTAATACATTCCAAGAAGGGACAGGAGTCAAGTGTGAAGTGAATGGTGCTGTTCCCGATGACCCTTCTCCCATCTCGCCTCCCGAGCCAGGCTTGGCTGAAAGCCTATGGACTTCCAAACCGCCACCTCTCTTCCATGAAGGAGCACCTTACCCTCCCCCTTTGTTTATCAGGGACACCTATAACCAGTCAATACCTCAGCCACCGCCTCGGAAAATTAAGCGACCCAAACGAAAAATGTACAGGGAAGAACCTACTTCAATAATGAATGCTATTAAACTGCGACCCAGGCAAGTCCTGTGTGACAAATGTAAAAACAGTGTTGTTGCAGAGAAAAAAGAAATTAGAAAAGGTAGTAGTGCAAGTGACTCTTCTAAATATGAAGATAAAAAACGGAAAAACGAAAGTGTAACTACTGTGAACAAAAAACTGAAAACTGACCATAAAGTGGATGGGAAAAACCAAAATGAAAGCCAGAAAAGAAATGCTGTGGTTAAGGTTTCCAATATTGCTCACAGCAGAGGCAGAGTAGTCAAAGTTTCTGCTCAGGCAAATACATCAAAAGCTCAGTTAAGTACTAAAAAAGTGCTCCAGAGTAAGAACATGGATCATGCAAAAGCTCGGGAAGTGTTGAAAATTGCCAAAGAAAAGGCACAAAAGAAGCAAAGTGAAACCTCTACATCCAAAAATGCACATTCAAAAGTCCATTTCACACGTCGGTATCAGAGTCCTAGCTCAGGTTCCCTTCCACCCCGGGTTCGTTTAAAACCACAAAGGTACAGGAATGAAGAAAATGACTCTTCTTTGAAGACAGGACTTGAGAAAATGCGGAGTGGCAAGATGGCACCCAAGCCCCAGTCTCGCTGCACCTCTACCCGCTCAGCAGGTGAGGCCCCTTCAGAAAATCAGAGTCCCTCAGAAGGCCCTGAAGAGGCCAGCAGTGAGGTTCAGGACACAAATGAAGTGCTTGTGCCTGGTGAGCAGGATGAACCACAGACACTGGGCAAAAAGGGCAGCAAAAGCAATATCTCTGTTTACATGACCCTAAATCAAAAGAAATCTGACTCTTCCAGTGCTTCAGTGTGTAGCATTGATAGCACAGATGATTTGAAATCCTCCAACTCTGAGTGTAGTTCTTCTGAAAGCTTTGATTTTCCTCCAGGCAGTATGCATGCACCTTCCACCTCCTCCACTTCCTCCTCTTCAAAGGAAGAGAAAAAGCTCAGTAATTCCTTGAAAATGAAAGTCTTTTCCAAAAACGTCTCTAAATGCGTCACACCAGATGGCAGGACCATATGTGTAGGGGACATTGTTTGGGCCAAGATCTATGGCTTCCCTTGGTGGCCAGCCCGTATTCTTACTATAACTGTGAGCCGGAATGATAACGGCCTTTTAGTCCGACAGGAGGCCCGTATTTCATGGTTTGGGTCTCCAACAACCTCTTTTCTTGCTCTTTCGCAACTCTCCCCCTTTTTAGAAAACTTCCAGTCACGCTTTAATAAGAAGAGAAAGGGCCTGTATCGCAAGGCTATCACAGAGGCGGCTAAGGCTGCCAAGCAGCTGACCCCTGAAGTGCGGGCTCTGTTGACACAGTTTGAAACGTGAACATGGACAGTAAGGTAGGCAAGAACCGTTGGAAGGCGCCACAGATATTCTAGTCTAGTTAGGAGTAATGTCTACGAAATAGCTTGGCCAAATCGGAAAGAGAAATTGTACTCAATTGGCTGCTTTTTTATACTTACCTTATAGCCATTTTTAGACTGAGAAGCTTAAACTGAACAAGCAATCAAATTTTGTGTTAAGGAAGTGAGATTTTAGCAGTATTTTTCAGTTTTGAAGTCAAACCATCCCAAGGCATAGGAGCCATAGCCTCAACTGAAAATGAATTTTTGCAGGGACTGTTAATTGCCATTTGTACCTAGTACTGTGTGTGTATGTGTGTATATTATATATATATATATATACACATGTACATATATGTGTGTGTATGCATACATACATATATATAAATATAGCCTGTCACTATGTGACACAGGTTGCATATTTGGGATTGCAGTAAGGGCTGGTGAGCTGGGGGGAGGGGGTGAGTGTGGGGCCGGGACCTAGTGTGGATATTTAATGACTACTTGTTTCTTAATTGATGAATACTTAGCCTTTCTATGTGCATAATGGCACAAGACTTTGATACTTAGGTGTTTGACAAACTGATGCTTGCTATTCAGTTGCAAACTGGGGAAATAGCCCAGTATTTGGGGTTAAGACTTGTAAGGCTGACAAGGTTTGAAGCATCACTTTTGTCCAATGGGGATTTAACAAAAACTTTCAAATTTCTGGTTTGGGAGTTTAGGTAGGTTTGTCTTTGGATATGTAAATAGTTGATTGCTAAATTTGGTCAGATTTCTCCTGACTGGCTGTTCCTAAATTCTTAGGATACGTCCTGGTAAATTACACTTTGTGAATTGTCATATGTGTAATCACTGCATTTTGGATGTACCTAATTTGATAATTTTTAAAAAATATTTCCGTTTAAGGTATCTGTTTGCAGGTCAGAAAATGAGAAAATGTAATTGTGTAATGCTCTGAAATGTAAAAAAAAAAAAAAAGCTGTAAATAAAATCGACTAAATCCGAATTATTTGTGTGTGTTTCTCAAAAAGCTTTGAAAAATTTCAAGATGGTAGAAAGTTATTCTTGGTAATAGTGTATGGAGGAGATGGAAAAAAATCAAACCCTTTATTTTCCTATTTGTCCTATCAGAGAATATATTACCCAATCATAGATAAAATTCAAGGAAGTGATTTATCCATATATTCTGAAAATGAGGTTTTATTAGCATAGAGGTCTGATATGCTTCTGGATTTGAGGCCCTCCCGCCAATTGTTCATAAATGTGTGGGTTTAGTTTTCCTCATTTTTAGCCTTAATATATCATCACATGGGTTTTTTTTTTTTTTTTTTTTTTTTGTTTTGTTGTTGTTGTTTTAAATACTTGTGTAGTTAACAGCCAGTCTCTTCTGCTTGGTTGGCTTCCGGTATCCTTGCTTTTGGGCCTGGTAACTTAGATCACTATTTACTACGTGGTCCATCTGCCCCTCAGATTTGACATTATTTTCCATTTTTAGCTTTTTATTGTTAGTGAAAAATAAAATCCTATTTTTTATCCCAAGAGTTTATGCCAAGAGTTTTCAAGTTGCTTTCATAGGTTTTTGTGTCTAACTTACCTTTTGAATTTGATATAGTATCAGTCTGGCAGTTTTGGAAATTTGAAAATTTTAAAGAGAGCAACTTTCTTTAGTAGTCCAATTTGAAATGTCTTAGTTACCTATGGAATTAATGATAAGATTAATGGAGAATTAAAATCCATGATCTGTAGCTTCCTTAAGGTTGTGGACTTTGATGATTTGTGTACTGATTTCTGCAAAAAAACAGTAGAATTTCTTCTGGGGAACTCAGTCAATGCTTTTTGATTATAATAAACACACAATTGAAAAAAAATGTTTTACTTGAGTAGAACATATTCTTTCCTGCAAACAGAAACAACGATACTATTTTGAAAATTCTTTGATTATAACAGGTTGAAAGATGTTCACAGTGTGATTGAGGGGTTTTAAGGAACTATCTTAAGAGATTTTTGAGTATTGTTTTAGATTAATGAACTTGTTCAGTTATTTTTGAAAGTTTGGAATCAAAGGTTCAAAGATTTAAGTAAGGCAGAGCAAAAAGTCACTTCTGTAATTCCAGGGCTTCATGTAATGATCCAGGTGAGTTTTATTGTAACATAGTGGGTGTGACAGTGGATATTGCTAATATAGTCAAGTGCTTTGGAAAATGTGCTCTGGTGGCATAAACCAAACTTGATTTGTCGGAGGAGAATAGTCATGATTGTTGAGAACAAAAATAACGTTCAATTTTATGTAGTCTATACCACTGAGGGAAAGGTTGAAGCATAATCACTAAAGTACATGATCTCTAATTATCATGCCAAATGATTCCTCCATTTTATTTATTATTATTATTTTTAAAGATTTTATTTATTCACGAGAGAGACACAGAGGCAGAGACACAGGCAGAGGGAGAAGCAGGCTTCCTGCAAGAAGCCCAATGTGGGACTTGATCCCCGATCCTGGGATCACTCCTGGAGCTGAAGGCAGATGCCCAACCACTGAGCCACCCAGGCATCCCTTATTTTAATTTTTTAATAAGTATTTTATTTATTTGAGAGAACACTCATGAGAGAGCACAAGCAGAGGGAGAGGGAGAAGCAAGCAGGTCTCGATTCCAGGAACCTGGGATCTTGACCTGGACCAAAGGCAGATGCTTAAGCAACTGAACCACTCAGGCACCCCTGATCCTCCATTTTAACTGGCTTATTTCATCTGAAGTTTCAATAAGGAAACACATTTTAAAGCATTTCTTACGTACTAAGCACTAATCCAATATCTGCATATTAAGTGTTTTATCCAAATGGAAATTTAAAATAATTTTTTTTTAAAGAAATTTTGAGTGTAGTTGATACATTAGTTTTAGGTAAACAACATTGTGATTCTACTTCTCTATACGTGTTACGGCAAATGGAAATTTCTTAAGGTGGCTAAAACAAAAGATTAGCAAGGGTAGAAACCAAGTGAGAGTAAGAACTGTAACAGCCAAAGATGTCTTTATTTCTAGAATTGCTCAGAAATTTTTTTTTAAAGAAGTATTTTTTTTTAAATATTGTGCTATTTTTTTAAATTTTTATTTATTTATGATAGTCATGAGAGAGAGGCAGAGAGAGAGAGGCAGAGACTTAGGCAGAGGGAGAAGCAGGCTCCATGCACCGGGAGCCCGACGTGGGATTCGATCCCGGGTCTCCAGGATCGCGCCCTGGGCCAAAGGCAGGCGCCAAACCGCTGCGCCACCCAGGGATCCCGAATTGCTCAGAAATTTAAAGCATCAGAGTATTTTTCTCTAGTTTCCCAGAATATTGAACAGAAAGCTGACTATTCATTTGAAAGGGATATATATATTTTTAAGGATTTTATTTGCAAGGGAGAACCCACAAGCAGAGGGAGAAGGAGAAGCAGGCTCCCTGCTAAGCAAGAAGCCCAATGCAGGGCTTGATCCCAGGACCCTGGGATCATGACCTGAGCAGAAGGCAGCTGCTTAACTGACTGAGCCACCCAGGCTCTGAGAGGAATATCTTTTCGACTTTTATAAATGTGGAGCCCGACATCAAAGAGATAAGTGAGATAGGAAAAGTAAAGTTGATTAGTCTTGAGCCTATTTGCATGACTTCATGGTGTGTCTATTGTGGTTTTGATGGGAAATTCTAGAAACAGTAATTTTAGATTAGTATTAAGTAGAATAGGCAAGAATATAGATATGAAGACAGACTTCAGGCAACATGAAGGTATTACTGAAATCAAATGTGTATCTTCATTAGTGGGTCTGAGTTTGTAATCTACAAAATACTTGCACTGCTGTTTTGAGCAGGTTGTACTTAATATTGGTTATGTTGAAGGAAAGACACATTTGCATTCCTTTACATACATACAGAATTCCTTCACATAGAGTAACTGAATCGGGAATTGGAAGTACAGGCATACCTCAGAGATACTGTGGTTTGGTTCCAGACCACCATGATAAAGTGAATGTCCCGATAAAGTGAGTCATGAATATTTTGGTTTCCCAATGCATATGAAAGTTACTTACACTGTATGGCAGCTTGCGTGCAATAGCATTGTGTCTAAAAAAACAAGGTATACCTTCAACTAAAAAGTCCTACTAAAAAGTGCTAACCATCTGAGCTTTCAGTGAATCATAATCTTTTCTTGGTGCGGAGGGTCTTGCCTTGATGTTGATGGCTGCTGACTGATCAGGCTGCTGGTTGCTAAAGGGTGGGGTGGCTGTGGCCCTTTAAGACAGTCGTGAAGCTCGCTGCATCAATGGACTCGGCCTTTCAGGAACAATTTCTTTCTTTGGCACGCACTGTTGTTAGATGGTGTTTACCCACGGAGGAGCTTCTTTCAACACTGGTGTCCTCAAACTCTGCCGTCTTTTATCAACTAGGGATATTCTAAATTCTCTAATACTCTAAATCCTGTTGTTTCAACAGTCTTCACAGCATCTTCATCAGGATTAGATTCCATCTCAAGAAATACTTTTTTTGCTCATCTATAAGAAGCAACTCCTCATCTGTTCAAGTCTTCTCATGAGATCTCAGAGTTCAGTCCCATCCTCAGGCTCTACTTCTAATTCTAGTTCTCTTGCTATTTCTACCACATCAGCAGTTACTTCCTCCACTGAAGTCTTGAACCTTCAGTTTGTTAGAACAAAACAAAACAATATCCTTGAAGCGTTAGTAAAGTGAAGCACAATAAAACGAGGTATAGCTTGTACCTTAAGAAATCTATAATTTGGATCTAAAATTAGATTTTCCCTTTTAAACTGTGAATTCTATGGTTTGTGCTATATCAGTTCATTTTTGTTTAGTATTCCTGGCAGAGAAGGGACTGGCAAATGTCTAGAAAAGTTGATCCCATGTTTTGATTCAGGGTATTGTTTTGATTTGGGCCCAGTGAAGGCCTCTAATACGGAATTTGCCAGAGAGAATGAAGATCCTATTTCTAAGTTGGGACATAT